TAGTGACAGTGTAAAAGGTTAAAATAACGTTCACTTTGCTGAAGGTCTAACCAATATAATAGGCCTACATTGTAATCCTGTGGTAACGTAATTGTACGTGACATCTATAAAACGGACTGAACATTAGTGAACAGTTTCGGTTACAGACTCCCACCTTAATGAGACATAGGCCTACCTGTTGTTATTTGCATAACAATAAGTTGTTCATCGTAGTGCGAGCTGTCTTCCCGAACGCTCACTTGACAGTTGGACACGGTGGGGTGTAGACGCAACAAAATGTGTGGTGCAGTCACAAGGTTGACCTTTTACAAGGCGTAGAGGCAAATGCATGTATGTGAGTATCACCTTTTTTTACAATGATCACCAGCATTGAATGCTAAAGGCGCAGAATCCTTGTACAACTATTCCCATTTTTATTTGTATGTCACTCAGATAGAATTTGGGACTCCAAACTGAATGCACGGAATGAAGGGCGCTCTCACCTTTGATAATAACCTAAGATTGCTTAAATCTTTTAGGTCTGCACACTTTAGCTCTGTTTGAATATTTTGTGTTCCCCTTGATAATTGATAACGAACATTTCAATCTATTTTTTTTTAATGGCGTGTGTGTGTGTGTGTTTAAATATACGTATTACTCACTGATGAATTTATTAGATGATGTTTGTCCCAGTTCGAAGATTCTGATCCAAAGATAAGCGTGTCCAGTCAATGTGTATATCAATTCCACAGTGAAATTCTATGGTCAAAGTTGATCAACAATACAAACGTCTCTTTTGACGACAAGCGCGATAGTTCATAAAGGAATTTCAAAACCTTTTTATTTAAACTAAATAATCTTAATTTCCTTCCCTTTTTATTGATTTTTACCTTAAACAAATCAGTATTTGCATTTTTTGTTATTATTTATAATGTTTATAGCAGTGCTGAAACCTTTGTAACGCTACTTTGAGAAATGAATTATTATCACTGTAAGGTAACATACTATCCTAGCCCTAATGGTTCTCAGTTTCAAATGAAAATCGGGTATTCTGTTTTCGCTTATGATTGATAAGTTCTCAAAGATCTTTATATAAAACAGTAAAGACACGCATATGCCCATTTTAAGTGCACAATAAATAATGATTTCCCAGATACATATTTTCTTCAGCCTGCCGTCTTCAGTGTGCCGTATGTTTTCCAACCATTACACGGTTCACTATATTAAAAGTTAATTGCACAACCAAATTATGCGCAATGTTTTTGTGAAATTCTTCGAAGAAAAATTTGTATATTAGATATTTTGCCCTTTTCTAATTTGCGTTAACATGTAGGCCTACTACAAGTGTTACAATATGTGAAAATTACTTTCTCTTTTCAGAAGCTCAACGAGATTCTTAACAACATGCGCCTGCAAATAACCCACGGTCGGGTGCCCAGAACCCCACGCTCATCCGTGCATCTATTATAACAAAACTGAATAAATACTTTAAAATTCAGCATTTTTGTTATGAAATTATAATGATTAATATAGAAGTAATGATAAGGAAAAATGAGTAGTATTATTTCATGTTTGAGGACTGATTTCTAAATATTTCCGGAACGTTTGTGTGATTGACGGTCTTCTGTAATAATAATGATAATATTTATTTAGTCTAAAATCCACATGGGTAAAATGAACAGAACAAGATAACTAAAGTAAATGAAAAGTTAGTTAAAATAATAAGATCTGAACTAAAGGACAGTTGGGATTTTAAGATATTAAAAATAAATTGTACAGTGTAAAAGATAACAGCCAGTTAACTTGATTATAAAACTTTTTGAAGATATAAGTTTTTAATTCTTTTTTAAAATTGTCCTCAGACTCTATTATTTCTATGCTACCTAAAGTAATCTAAAAAGTTGAAAGTCGTCAATGCAATGAGAAATGTGCCCGGCATTTTGTAAAGAATGAAATTTGAGCACGTAAGCCGTTTTAACACTGAAAGAGAATATTAAAAACGGTTTCCTCCAACCACCCATATTAATAGATTAGATTTGTATGAATTTTTAAATCAGCTTTTTAAAAATTCACATTAAATTTTTGTTCTACAGCAAAATGAAACAAATTCATTCCCCCCCCCCACCTGACACCCTTTAAATGGAATTAACTTGCCCCACCTGACACCCCTCAAATGAAATTGACTCACACTACCCGACACCCCTCAAATGAAATTGACTCACACTACCCGACACCCCTCAAATGAAATAGACTCACACTATCTGACACCCCTCAAAAATGGACTCATCTCACCCTAAACCCCTCAAATAGAATGGACTCACCCCACCTGTTACCCCCTTAAATGGAATGGACTCACCCTGCCTGACACCCCTGAAATGGGATGCACTTGCCCCACCTGACACCCCTGGATTGGAATGGACTATCCCCACCTGACATCTTTCAAATGAAATGGACAGTGAAGAACATTAGAATAATGTCATGTTAACGTTTGCTATGGTCTAATCTATATATAACCCTGTGGCAATGTTATCAAAATGTTGTGTTAACTGGGTAAATGGCCATGTGTAGTATCTGAATTGATTTACTCTGCAAATATGTAATATCTTTAAACACTTAGGTCTAAAATATTTTAAATTTAACCCAGTCATCATATACATATATATCTTGGAATTTTACAAGTATCAAGCCTGGTTATATTTATTGTGTACCATTCATCAATAAAAAAATAATAATTTGGATACACATTAAATTTAAACAAGTAAATGGACTGACAATTGCTCTCAAAAGATACTACCTAACATCTTGTTCAGCATTGAAATCCTTGGTATCTCACTACAAATTCTACTGAATCAAGTTCAGTTATTAATGAATATCAGTCATCTTTCTGCCTTACATTTAAAGTGTGCATTTTCTGCTTTGTACAGTACAGTGTATGTCATGAAAACCAGGGACTGCTATGGATATATATTTAACCGAAGCAGGTCCAATTTTTGGCCTAATCGTTAGATGTATGACAACCCTTAATTATTTAATATTGCCACTTTGCAAAACCACCATTAGAAAAAAAAAAACAAAACTTAAGCTGGGTAGAATGTCTAAAAAANATTAGAATAATGTCATGTTAACGTTTGCTATGGTCTAATCTATATATAACCCTGTGGCAATGTTATCAAAATGTTGTGTTAACTGGGTAAATGGCCACGTGTAGTATCTGAATTGATTTACTCTGCAATTATGTTTAATATCTTTAAACACTTAGGTCTAAAATATTTTAAATTTAACTCAGTCATTATTTAAATATATACCTTGGAATTTTACAAGTCTCAAGCCTGGTTATATTTATTATGCACCATTCATCAATAAAAAAATAATAATTTGGATACACAATTAATTTATACATGTAAATGGACTGATAATTGCTCTCAAAAGTTATACTACCTAACATCTTGTTCAGCATTGAAATCCTTGGTATCTCACTACAAATTCTACTGAATCAAGTTCAGTTATTAATGAATATCAGTCATCTTTCTGCCTTACATTTAAAGTCTGCATTTTCTGCTTTGTTCAGTACAGTGTATGTCATGAAAACCAGGGACTGTTATGGATATATATTTAACCGAAGCAGGTCCAATTTTTGGCCTAATCGTTAGATATATGACAACCCTTAATTATTTAATATTGCCACTTTGCAAAACCACCATTACAAAAAAAACAAAAAACAAAACTTAAGCTTGGTAGAATGTCTAAAAAAAAAAAAAAAAAAAAAACAATTAAGCTGAGTAGAATGTCTACCAAAGGAAAAGATTTGACATCTAAATATAATGCATCATTGAAAGTGGGAGGATTAATAACCTTTTCTACAAAGTATAGTCTGAAGTTGCATAGAAAAAAAAACCTAAACAAAAGAAAAAAGTTAAAAGACTTCGGAGTCAAACATTTGAGAAACCTTACACTTCATTTCCATTGGGTGTGCTTTAAATTGCCTGGCAATTAACCAACACTTAAGCTTCATTTTATCATTATTATAAAGATGACAATGTCTACGGTCATTAAATTAATAGGGAAGCATTGATTTTAATTTGTAAGAGTATGTAAATGAGACAATTAGCATAATGAACAGTACTATACATCATGACATTAGGACAAAAAGGTTTTATTTATTACACAATAAAAAATTTAACATTTTGCAGAAGCTATTAATGTTGAATTTTAGCGTAACTTCCACTTACATGTTAGAACAGAAAACTTTAACAATAAATAATGCTATTTATTATGTAAGTCTGCTATCCAAACAGGATTTTAAAATAATAATAATTAACTGAAAGCTACATGCTCACCCTTGACAATAAATTTTAAATTTTGACATGTTAAATCAGCACCATGAATTACTATACAGATATTTGATTTTTTTACATACTTCACAGCAATAAAGAAAATAAATAAATAAACAAACTGTGATAACTAATAGTTCATTTGTTGACAATTGTGCAAAAATATATTTTCAAGTAACATAACAGAAAATATTAATTTGATGTGCAGCAATAAAACAGTCAGCTTTATGAAGTGTGGTCAGTTTCATTACACAAGGATTGAAGGACAGGATACTATTAAAAGGAACCCATTTGTAACCTCTGCTGATATCTCCCATATTTGAAAACTGTGCAAATTACACCAATTTCTTTAACTTCTTCTTCTCCTTTTCTCCTCAAACATAAGGAAATCACCCACAAGAAGGCATTTCTGTATCATATACCTGTAATGTTGACTTAATGCTGATTTAATTTTTTTTTTGTGCAAATGAGTAAGTTCAAATCTATAAATAACAAGGCAGCAAAGCTGTCAAATGTACAGACAAAAAGCAGGAAATAACTATGCACAAAATAGGCTACTGTTTATTCTGATGCAAAAGTACATTATGTTAAACTGTAAATTCAACATCAAATTTTAATTATGCTCAACAGGTAAAACCAATGAAAGTAAAATGTGTAACAAGCATAAGGCTTCAGGCCCANTACATAAAAATGTCAAAAACAAATTTACAATTATACATATTATTTGAGTGTGATGTCTTATATCAGTCAAAGGAAAATACAGGTACAATAATTATATCTTACAGGAAATAAGTTAAGTATGCAAACAACATACTAAGAATTAAACAAATATATTTACAAACATTTTATAAATTGAAATAAATCTGAAGATGCATACTTTTCTAGGCAGTTACATCAACTTGCACAGTACATAAAGCAGTATACAAAATTTTGATTAGGTTATATAAGAGAACTGTACAAATCAATATCTATATCTAAGAGAAAAGTTATAAATTGGGAACACATAGATCTATCACATTATGATTGTTGAATATTGTATATAACATGGAATGTTTATTTTGACAATGTCACCAGCAAAAGCTATTTTAACCACTGCATCTTAACAAAAATGATTGTTTAGTGCACCCCTGATAAACGTCTTTCTCAAAATTAAGTGAAAACTAGTTATATCACTAATATGAACTGTAAGTTGAACAAAGTAAAGAAAATATATAAGGCCTTTGCTAATAAGGGAATGTCTATAATAACATTTAGAACAGCCATGAAGTAATAGAATATTTTCTGTCCTGTAAGTTGCAGTCACTTTGAACTTTTCCTTGTAAGTTTTGCCTTCTTTGAGGTATACTAACCCATGTTACAAGCACACATTGATCCCATTAGACCATATCAAGTCTTTGGGCCTTTTTTTCAAAATATTAAGTGCACCTCACTGAAAATGCTACTAATTTGTTAAAATGTAAAATACAATATGATACAAAACTGTATATACACCATCTTTTCACAGATTTGAAACAAAAAGACATGCAAAAGATACACTTAACAAGGTATCAAATTGTTCACTATATATTATGATAACTTCAGTTCCACGAATTATGCCTGCTCTGTCTCTGAATAAATTTGACCATATGGTATCACATCATCACCTCCAATGATTTCATTTTTTTTTAAATTCATTGTCTGTATCTAGATATTAATGTATGGGTAGTCTGTTGGGTAATGTGACCCAGTGAACAAACATGGCCTCTGAATTTTCACCTCATGGGTATACAAATGAGACATCTGATTGTTCAAAATGTACATCTACAAGTAAACAAGGCAATGCTATCTGTATATTCTGTGCACTTAAATGACAGGTCCCCTTTGTTTTATGATATGATTCTGATTGAAGCTAGACTTCAGATCCTGCAGACTTTACCAGAGGAGATCCATCCATTCTAAATCACCAGTTTCTTTTCTGAAACACTGAATTATTTCATTTCAGATTGTCTGTCACTTATGTCATTGGTAAATAATTTTATTTCACCTCCAGTCCTGCTGTTCTTTTAGTACAGAGAAAGAGTCGGAGTGAACAGACATGGAGTCGGCGTCCATGAAGCCCCCGTGGCGTCGTTTTTGATACTCCTGCAGCTGTCTGGCATGTTGGTCCAACCCTCCATCCCACATTGCTATATAGCCATAGGTCTTCTCTGGAAAAACAATGTAATTCTTCTGTTATTTTGACACATAATTAATTTGTGATTTTAATTATAGTTGGTAATATCTATGAAAAAAAAGATAAGCTTTAGGTCAAAACTAAGAAAAAAAGAGAACAGAATTATATCATAATTTCTATCTGACAAATTATGTTTTAAAGCTTTTTGTCAATAAATTCTGTAAGAATATTTCATCACTGACACATCTAACTAAAGTCGTTATGGGAAACATAATACAAAATTTTCATTATTTTCACACAAACAAGCCAGTCTAATTTCAAATTACATCCTGCGCCTCTCTTAACTCACCATCCTGAGCAGTTTCAAACTCCTCTCGGAATGTATGGAACCCAAAACCACCAGTCACCACACAGGATGTACCCCTCTGACCTGGAAAAAACAGAAATAATGAAAAAAATGATAGCTTTTTGTCACTTTTCTTTGGCTACACAATATTTTCATTTCAAGGGCAAATTTATAATGTTTGGATAAAAGTTTTAGTTATAGAGATGAGCATCTTTATAGTGCCTCACTGAAAATGTTCTGACTGAAAAAAAGAGTGATGAGTACCTAAGGAAGAAAATGATTTTTATTTTGAAAGTGAACACAAAATAAAAAGATGAGACTGTCATTCAAATCTGAGAAACCCAAAGCAAAGCAAAAAAAAAAATAATAATAATAAATAAATAAAAAATAAAATAATAATAATAATAATTGTCCTATTATTACAAAAATGATCAAATATATAAACTTACTCTTCAGTATGACATTAATCATGCATCTGACAGCAGTGCGGTGGCGTTTCAGCACAGCGCATGGTCGTAAGGAGTTGGTGTCCAGTATCACGAGTAACCCCTCCCCTGTCCCTACCCACAGAGTGTGCGTGTTCTGTAACAGCAACGACGTCACACGACAGTCGCCTCGGGACAACTTCATAGATGGGTCAAACTCACTGAATGAAAGAAATAAGAGTGTAATTTGCATTATGGAACTCAATAAGTCTAAACCTTTCAAGACAGAAAAAATGAAACAGCTATTTTCAAATGGCTAGTCTGGGAAGTTATTTTTTACTCCCAAATAAACTTTGTTTACTTTAATAATTGTACTGATAAATTTTCTTGACCATTTTACAAACAAATATTTCAAGTGCACCGTCTGTAAAATCTAAAATTTAATGTTAGTAAATGGTGAATTTGCCTTACTGTTACAACTAACTTAAACCACGGGTAGGGACCTAACTTACCTGACAGTTTTGTAAATGTCAATGGTATGTTTGAGAACTTGCTTATTGAGGTCCCATGCCTCCACAGTGGCCTCCTGCATCTTAGCCAGGTAGAGGTACTTTCTGGACACTACCATGGCACAGATGATACCCCGGGACCTGAAACAGACAACAGACTTTTATAATATTTATTACCTCTATGTTCTAAGTCTCTTCGGTTGATCATAAGTCGTTTGTAACCTTGCCTCTAGTATTCAAACACTAAGAAAGTAGTAAGCTAATGCTATCAGTGAAAAAGCTATTGTCATACCTTGTGACATAATCTATTTTGAAACACCCCAGAAATAACTTTTTTCTAATGGTCAATCTGATACAGGAAGTAAACATTTACTATTATTCAAATAGTTAAATTGGGGTTATGCAAGAGAAGGTAGAACAACAAAAATAAAAAAGAAACACTCACTGCTCTGTTGCTGTGTCTATTTCTTGTGGAATATCCCTCCAGGTGTCAGGAAGAAGCATGACAATCTTGCTCCCACACCCAATATAGAGTGTCTTGGATTGAGTGTGGGGTACGATGCAACGGATAGGTTCAGAGGATTCTCCAAATCTAAGCGTGTATGATGGTTCCGCAAATGCATCCTGAGTGAAATAGAATGAAATAACTACAATATAAAGATTAAGTCACAAATTTTCCTTACCATTGGATTATTTATATAAATAAATCAGGCGAAGAAATGTATTGATTTGGAAAAAAATTTTGACACTGTGTGCCCACCCTTACAAAAGTTAAATCTAAACAGTTCTACGGGACTTCTTAGGAATTCTATCCAATTTCCTGTTGCATGTCTATCTAGGGAAGATCCGCAGATCATATATGGCAACCCATTTAAAAGCTTGTCGCTTAATTCCCCGTTAGACACTAAATAGCCTGCGGGGAGTATGCAACAAGCATTCAAGTGGGGCAGCCATATTTGATTCGTCGAACTGTTAGTCTACTGTCCTGAATGCGCTAGAAGTACTCACAGTGAGGACATTGTTTGCATCAAATATAGCGAGCTGCCCACTGGCCAAGCCCACATAGACTTGGGCATCTCCAGACTGGTTTTGACTGGGAAAAGATTAAAATTGAACACAGTGAATATAAAATTTTATTCAAAATATATGATTTACAAAATAATAATAATAAGTATAATAAAAATAATTAAAGAATAATAATAATAAATAAATAAATAATCATAAAAAACATGACTAAAAAGCAACATAATTGCATTAAAAACATTGATTTAAAAACTAAATTTGCTTCCAATACAGTGCTATCATTAACTTCACTATCAAATGTTCTATTTATCAGTAACGATACTAGAACCAGTTATTATCACACTGAATAAGCCTGTGTAATTTAACAAAAGAGTTCTCAGATGGCTATGTAGAATTACTGAATATGCATGTCAGCAGTTTGTTAGAGGAACAAATTGGCAAATTTCCCCCAAAAAGATTAATAAACATTTATAATGAGAAGACAGATTTTTCTTGTCATTCATAGGTATATGTAATATGTCATATTTGTTGAAAAAGGCTCATAAGTGTTATAGTCCACGCCAGCCAAACTGGTTGGTCTAACTTATTTTTCCCCACATTCCATCATTCTACTTACTGAAAGTGCATGCACAGCACAGAATCCGGTAACCTAGGCAACTTATGCTTGTGTTCCCGTGTATAGGCATCATATACCCATATATGGCCAGAGAGACAACCAATCAAAACACAGCTGCTGCCAATGGTCGTTAGGCAGAGAATACGGCTGTCTGGATGAAACTTCCCTTGTAAACTCTGAAAGCAGGGTGATAAAAGACAATGTTTGAGTATTTTTAATAAATCGTTTTGATTCCACTTAGATTTTGGAAATGCACAACACAACAGTTGTGCATTAAATAAATTATGTGATATCATCTTATTGCAACTCTGGCTGGAAAAAGATAATTAGGGGTATATCCAGCAATATTTTCTGACAGTCTTCCAAATTATTTTTGTTGATCTACCCTCCATTTCTGACTGTCTTCAGACAGAAAAAATTAGATGCCTGTCAATGTAAACTTGAAAATCTGACCATTTTACAGAAGACTCAGAAAACGGCCTCAATCCACCCCTGATAATAACGCGATAAAAATTCTCTCTTTTATATAAATAAACCAAACTGTGACACAGCCTAAGAACAGACCATCCCAGCAGACATGTCTTACCAGAGTCAGATCCAGGATCTTAGGATCGTTTTCTGTTAGGCTGACCCAGGACAGCTGAGCACAGTCCTCACTGCCTCCACTGCCTACCCACAACTCCATCCCATCACCATCATGCTGGAAGTTAGTTAATTAATTAATAATTAATTAATAATATCACTAACATATGCAAATAAATAACAATATTACTAACATATGTAAGTAAAAAATAATTTAATATATATATATATAAATATTAAATAAATAATAAATACAATATGCAAGTATATTAAAAAACAAAAACATACAAAAACAAACCATTTCTTAATTAACACATAGCTAAATGAGTAAAACATACACCCAGCACTCCTAGCATTATCAGTGGTGTCTTAAGTTTGAGTGATATAATTTATTCAAGAACCAAAACACTTCTATCCATTGGAGATTTTCTAAAATTTATATGTATAGCATTTCTGAACTGAAATTACTTATTCATTATCTGTAGAATTTGATCAGCATGTCTTACCCTAAGTGTCATACATTCTACTGTCATGTTCTTGGAAATAGGCAGAAAGTTTCTGAGACTCAGCAAGTCACAGCGCTCCAGTTTCTCATGGATTTCTGCTGCCTGAAGAGAAAATGGACTCAGTATTTTATAGAATTGACCTCAAAATAAGCTCGATTCAAGATAAGATGATACTGTATGGGAGCCGAAATCATAACATGTAATGGACACAGCATTATATTGAATCCAATTCAGTTTCATCCCAAAATAAGCAAGATTCAGGATAAGACTATATGCAATCAGAAACCATTACAAGGAGAAATCAGTCCGGGTTTATGAACAAGAGGTAACAGTACTTATGAATTGTGTACAGAAGTAATTTACTGCAGGGAAAAGATCATTTTTCAGCTAATTTTATGATCGTTCGAAGTTTGAAATTCACACATTACTGTATACTAAACTGTACAACATCTTGTCTTCATACACCCAAGCACCACAATGGTGGACAAGTCTTTCTCACATTACAAACACATAAAACCTATCATAGGTCTCTCCTCTGGCAAATACTTAAGGCAGAGATATTTAGCNGGAGGAGAAGCGGGAGCCGCAGGAGCCGGCGGAGCCGCAGGAGCCGGCGGAACATACGGGTCGGGACTAAAACCATGTGTACCGCCAGCGCCTACGCTGGTGGTACAATAACAATATAAAGATTAACTCCCAAATTTTCCTTACCATCAGATTATTTATATAAATAAATCAGTTAAAAAAAATGTATTGCTTTGCAAAAACTTTTGATACTGTGTGCCCACTCTTACAAAAGTTAAATCTAAACAGTTCTACGGGACTTCTTAGGAATTCTATCCAATTTCCTGTTGCATGTCTATCTAGGGAAGATCCGCAGATCATACATGGCAACCCATTTAAAAGCGTGTTGCTTAATTCCCAATAAGAATTCCTAAATAGCCTGCCGGGAGTACACAACAAGCATTCAAGTGGGTCAGCCATACTTGATCCAGGGATCTGTTAGTCTTCTGTCCTGAATGCGCTAGAAGTACTCACAGTGAGGACATTGTTTGCATCAAATATAGCGAGCTGTCCACTGGCCAAGCCCACATAGACTTGGGCATCTCCAGACTGGTTTTGACTGGGAAAAGATTAAAATTGAACACAGTGAATATAAAATTTTATTCAAAGTATATAATTTACAAAATAATAATAATAAGTATAATAAAAATAATTAAAGAATAATAATAATAAATAAATAAATAATCATAAAAAACATGACTAAAAAGCAATATAATTGCATTAAAAACATTGATTTAAAAACTAAATTTGCTTCCAATACAGTGCTATCATTAACTGCACTATCAAATGTTCTATTTATCAGTAACGATACTAGAACCAGTTATTATCACACTGAATAAGCCTATGTAATTTAACAAAAGAGTTCTCAGATGGCTATGTAGAATTACTGAATATGCATGTCAGCAGTTTGTTAGAGGAACAAATTGGCAAATTTCCCCCAAAAAGATTAATAAACATTTATAATGAGAAGATTTTTCTTGTCATTCATAGGTATATGTAATATGTCATATTTGTTGAAAAAGGCTCATAAGTGTTACAGTCCACGCCAGCCAAACTGGTTGGTGTAACTTATTTTTCCCAACATTCCATCATTCTACTTACTGAAAGTGCATGCACAGCACAGAATCTGGTAACCTAGGCAACTTATGCTTGTGTTCCCGTGTATAGGCATCATATACCCATATATGGCCAGAGAGACAACCAATCAGAACGCAGCTGCTGCCAATGGTTGTTAGGCAGAGAATACGACTGTCTGGATGAAATTTCCCTTGTAAACTCTGAAAGCAGGGTGATCAAAGACAATGTTCGAGTATTTTTAATAAATCGTTTTGATTCCACTTAGATTTTGGAAATGCACGACTATTTTACCATTAAATAAAATATGTGATATCATCTTATTGCAACTCTGGCTGGAAAAAGATAATTAGGGGTATATCCAGCAATATTTTCTGACAGTCTTCCAAATTATTTTTGTTGATCTACCCTCCATTTCTGACTGTCTTCAGACAGAAAAAATTAGATGCCTGTCAATGTAAACTTGAAAATCTGACCGTTTTACAGAAGCCTCAATCCACCCCTGATAATAACGCAAAAAAAAAATCTCTCTTTTATATAAATTAACCAAACTGTGCCACAGCCTAAGAACAGACCATCCCAGCAGACATGGCTTACCAGAGTCAGATCCAGGATCTTGGGATCGTTTTCTGTTAGGCTGACCCAGGAGAGCTGAGCACAGTCCTCACTGCCTCCACTGCCTACCCACAACTCCATCCCATCACCATCATGCTGGAAGTTAGTTAATTAATTAATAATTAATTAATAATATCACTAACATATGCAAATAAATAACAATATTACTAACATATGCAAGTAAAAAATAATTTAATATATATATAAATATTAAATAAATAATAAATACAATATGCAAGTATATTAAAAAATACAAACATACAAAAACAAACCATTTCTTAATTAACACATAGCTAAATGAGTAAAACATACACCCCGCACTCCCAGCATTATCAGTGCTGTCTTAAGTTTGAGTGATATAATTTATTCAAGAACCAAAACGCTTCTATCCATTGGAGATTTTCTAAAATTTATATGTATAGCAATTCTGAACTGAAATTACTTATTCATTATCTGTAGAATTTGATCAGCATGTCGGTCTTACCCTAAGTGTCATACATTCTACTGTCATGTTCTTTGAAATTGGCAGAAAGTTTCTGAGACTCAGCAAGTCACAGCGCTCCAGTTTCTCATGGATTTCTGCTGCCTGAAGAGGAAATGGACTCAGTATTTTATAGAATTGACCCCAAAATAAACTAGATTCAAGATAAGATGATACTGTATGCGAGCCGAAATCATAACATGTAATGGACACAGCATTATATTGAATCCAATTCAGTTTCATCCCAAAATAAGCAAGATTCAGGATAAGACTATATGCAATCAGAAACCATTACAAGGAGAAATCATTCCTGGTTTATGAACAAGAGGTAACAGTACTTATGAATTGTGTACAGAAGTAATTTACTGCAGGGAAAAGATCATTTTTCAGCTAATTTTATGATCGTTCGAAGTTTGAAATTCACACATTACTGTATACTAAACTGTACAACATCTTGTCTTCATACACCCAAGCACCACAATGGTGGACAAGTCTTTCTCACATTACAAACACATAAAACCTATCATAGGTCTCTCCTCTGGCAAATACTTAAGGCAGAGATATTTAGCATGTCAAACTTACTGTAGGTCTCTCCTCTGGCACATACTTAAAGCAGAGATATATAACATGTCAAACTTACGGTAGGTCTCTCCTCTGGCACATACTTGAGGCAGAGATATATAACATGTCAAACTTACGGTAGGTCTCTCCTCTGGCACATACTTGAGGCAGAGATATATAACATCTTGCATGTCTGGCCATGGCTGGCAGCATGGCCTCCCTGTCATAGGGTCTAGCTTGGTTGTGATGGGGTTGATTGGCCGCTTCTGAATGACAAGATAATACAAGGTCAAAATAAGCAATCTTATCAAGTCCAGTTTTGAACTTAACTTGCATTTAATGACTGTCACAATGAGTAAACCCTGTGGTCTGAAGCAAAACGACGTCGCTGCTTTAAATTTCTTGTTGTCAAAACTTTTAAAATATGATTCTGATTCTCTAAAGACATTGCAATTTTCAATTATACTTTGGGCACACTATAGCAAAATAAGTTTCAATTATGAGGAGATATTTTACCTGCAGCAGTGAAGTGAAATTAATTGGAAATAATAAAGCATCACAAATCAGTAAAATCATCTTAATATCACAATTTGCTAAAAAGAGCACATATTACCATCAGCACTGCCTCATCTAGCTGGTTTCTGAATGATAAGTCATCATAAGGATGTCTGCCATTAGTGACCAGCTCATACAGGGTCATTCCAAATGAATACATGTCAGCCTGCATGAAGAAGACAAACTCAGCACTGAATCATGTTTTATGCACATACAATATTATTAACATATTCTACCAGTCTTCAATCTGAAGGGAGATGAAAACCAAATGGCCAAAATTGGTCAAAAAGGCTTTTCCTATTTATTTTATATAAAAATACTTTTCTGAATATTAGTGCAATAAAATATACCACTTTAAAAGCAAACATTCCCTTTCTGCTCTTTTAATTACCACCCCATGTATTTCTTTTTTAAGCTCTGCCCAACCCTGCTTAAAGTCAAACTGCTTTGTAAATTAATGTAAAATTGCGATTGGTTCGAGTTGTATTTCCATTCCCAAGTGAGATATACGTAATCATGAAAATTGGCATGACTGATGACAAGGTTGTGATATGCAATCTTGTGGCAAGGCTTGCATATAATTGTGCAATCACACAAATATATTACTTACTGGCAGTTACATGTACTTTCAAAACATTCACACAAACATACATGAGTAGAAATAAATTCACAATTCATAAACGTTAATCACACATGCGCACACAAGAGCAAAACTAAAATATTCTTTTTGAATTAAAACTTTATTTCATACAGGCTATGGCTTTCTACACAATCATAATTCATTGGTTATCTATTCAAAAACCAATAAATAGAACTAATTAACTTTCACCATAATCTTTAAGTAATCTTTCCGCATGTTTTGGACCAAATCTTTATGATACTCTGACAGTTAATTGCTGATAAGCATATATTAGTGTGCTTTCTCTTTTTTACCTTGAAACATTGTTAAGATTTTCTTCAACAACTTCCAGGAAATGACACCCAGTGAGAGATACATGGCATAATATAAACACTGCACTAACAACTTATAAGCAATAACATCCAAAAGATAGTACTGATACCAGTTTAACCTGTAAGTAGCCTGGGAGTGAAAGTGAAGAGTACCATTGTGCCTAATAACATAGTTAATCCAAAACAACAATTCTTCTTGTCCTGACATGGGAGTATCTTGCAGTAGTTTGGACATTCTAACTGCATTTTCCTTGTAAGACCTGTCATTCAGAACTTTGTTGATAGCAGTTTCTAATGCTTCCTCAGAGAGGGAACTGAAGACCACAATTTCGCCAATCTTGGCACGTTCCTTCAGCTTTCGAGCCTGGTGTTGTTGATCCCAAAGTAATGGCATGGCCACAACAGGAACTGCGTGGTACAGTGTCTCCCATGTGCTGCTTACTCCACAGTGGGTGATAAACAGCTTAGTGGCAGGGTGGGCAAGAAGGTCGTTCTGTGGAAACCAATCAACCAGGTAAGTGTTTTTTCCAAGAAATTTGGGAGCAACACCCTTATAGCGCCATATCACCTTTTGCGGAAGTTTAGCAAATACTTTGGCCAGTATTTCTGCTTTGTCTTTTGGCAAGGTAGGTACCAAGGTTCCAAAACTCATCAAAATCACTCCTTGAGTGGCAGAAGCCATTATGTTGGCATAAAACTTGGGAAGAGGTTTTGGAGGTGTCCAGAGGAGTCCAGAGATGGGCTTGACGTGGGGCATGACTGGTCTTGGGTAATCAAAGGCAAAATTGACATTGGCAGCAATAAAAAGAGACATTCTTTGATAAGTATGCCTAGCAGATGGCCAATTTTCATTGGGGAGATATTTCTGTTTCAGTTTGTCCATAGTCTCTATTTTCTCATTTGCCCACTCTTCAGCTTCTATCACAAAGTCCAAATTCTGAAGTCTCTCTGTAAATGTCATATTATCACTAAAATCTGTTAGAATATATGGCATATATGATGGGAAGCTAGGCTGATTGAAGTAAAACCATATGTCAAAAAAACCAAAGTTGTTGTAGGCAATGCTAGGAATGTCTAGATACTCTCTTAAAAAATAGTTAACCGCCATATTGCTCATGTCCACAAAGAGGAGAGAAAATCCTGCAGCTTTGAGGCGCTTCACCAGTTGCTGGTCCTCCAAAAGATTTTCAGCCATCATGTAGTCCACTTTTTCAATTTCTTTAACGAAAGGCATGGGATCTTTCTCAACGTAGTACATTGTTGTGTTTAGGTCCAACTCGCCTCCCTTATTCACCCAAAGCTCTGGCATCTTGTACACAATCAACTCAATCCCAGATACGTTCATTTTAGGTTTGTAGTGGTCCCCAACCAGCATGCTGACAGTGTGCCCATGATCTCGAAGCATGACGGAAATCTTCTCTAGATTCAGTGTTCTCGAGTTGAAGATATGAGTGCAAGGAAAGATCAATATTTTCTCTCCGTCACTTTCCATGGGTACATGTAACAGTACCAAGCTTAAGATAACAACGTGCTGTATAAGGTGGAAGGTTGCCATCTTAACATTTACCAAATGGGCTCAAGTTTACCTCTACCCCTTTATATAGATATCAAATAGCAGAGGTCAGGCAGCAACTGGATCAGTCAAACAGCGGTGAAGATAAGCTTATCAATCAATCAATCAACGTGCTACAGGTATGTAGCTTTCAGAGGTTGATTTGTCTGGAGCAACCAGCAGTCTGTAAATTTTAAGTAGTATTTGACTGTTCAAAAATTTAAGCAAGGTTCGATAACACAGAAGTATATTTTTCATCATGACAGAAGTTTATATTCAATTTTCTAAATAAGTTATATTCTATATAAATTAAAAACAACACATGGACTGAAATCACAGTTTTTAAAAGATCTGATATAATAATAATAATAATAATAATAATAATAATAAACAAGAATACTGTTTTTTAATTTATACTTTATTTAATATAAACCTATACAATCCTGGCTCATTTAATGTCTTTTTAAATGGAAATGAAAACATAGATATTTCCTTCAACATAATCTTTAAAATAAGTAATCTCTCTGAAAGTATTTGAAGCAAATCTTTATGATACTCTGGAAATTAACTGATGATAAGCACATATCACTGCACTTTCTGTTTTTTCCTTTGAAACATTGTTAAGATTTTCTTCAACAACTTCCAGGAGATGACACCCAGTAAGAGATACAAGGCATAACATAAACCTTGCACTAACAACTTATAAGCAATAACATCCAGCAGATAGTACTGATACCAGTTTAAACTGTAAGCAGCCTGGGAGTGAAAGTGAAGAGTACCATTGTGCCGAATAACATAGTTAACCCAAAATAACAATTCTTCTTGTCCTGACATGGGAGTATCTTGCAGTAGTTTGGACATTCTAACTGCATTTTCCTTGTAAGACCTGTCATTCAGAACTTTGTTGATAGCAGTTTCTAATGCTTCCTCAGAGAGAGAACTAAAGACCACAATTTCGCCAATCTTGGCACGTTCCTTCAGCTTTCGAGCCTGGTGCTGCTGATCCCAAAGTAATGGAATGGCCACAACAGGAACTGCATGGTACAGTGTCTCCCATGTGCTGCTTACTCCACAGTGGGTGATAAACAGCTTAGTGGCAGGGTGGGCAAGAAGATCGTTCTGTGGAAACCAGTCAACCAGGTAAGTGTTTTTTCCAAGAAATTTGGGAGCAACACCCTGATACCGCCATATCACTTTCTGGGGAAGTTTGGCAAATACTTTGGCCAGTATTTCTGCTTTGTCTTTTGGCAAGGTAGGTACTAAGGTTCCAAAACTCATCAAAATCACTCCTTTAGTGGCAGATGCCATTATGTCGGCATAAAACTTGGGAAGAGGTTTTGGAGGCGTCCAGAGGAGTCCAGAGATGGGCTTGACATGGGGCATGACTGGTCTTGGGTAATCAAAGGCAAAATTGACATTGGCAGCAATCATAAGAGACATTCTTTGATACGTATGCCTAGCAGATGGCCAATTTTCATTGGGAAGGTATTTTTGTTTCAGTTTGTCCATAGTCTCTATTTTCTCATTACCCCAATCTTCAGCTTCCATCAGAAGGTCAAAATTTTGAAGTCGCTCTGTGAATGTCATGTTATCAGTAAAATCAGTGAATACATGAGGCATAAATGATGGAAAATAAGGCTGGTTGAAGCAAAACCATGAGTCAAAAAAGCCAAAGTTGTTGTATGCAATGCTAGGAATGTTTAAGTACTCCATCAAAAAATAATTGGCTGCCATATTGCTTATGTCCACAAAGAAGAGAGAAAATCCTGCTGCTTTGAGGTGCTTCACCAGTTGCTGGTCTTCCAAAAGATTTTCAGCTAACAAGTTGTCCACTTTTTCAAACTCTTTAGCGAAAGGCATGGGATTCTTTTCGACATAATTCATGGTTGTGTTTAGGTCCAATTCGCCTCCCTTATTTACCCAAAGCTCAGGCATCTTGTACACAATCAACTCAATCCCAGATATGTTCATTTTAGGTTTATAGCGGTCACCAACCAGCATGCTAACAGAGTGACCGTGATCTCGAAGCATGACGGAAATCTTCTCTAGATTCATCGTTCTTGAGTTGAAGACATAAGTGCAAGGAAAGATCAATATTTTCTCCCCATCGATTACCCTGGGTACCAGTGTCACGCTTATGACTAGAAGATATTGTATAAAATGGAAGGCTGCCATCTTTGCATTTACCAAGTGGGTACAAGCTTACTTCTTACCCTTTATAAATATTATCAAATAGCAGAGTTCAGGCAGCAACTGGATCAGTCAAACAGCTGTGAAGATAAGCTGACAGTTAAAGGAGCAAGCACTATGCTAAAGTTCATCAGCCCAAATGCTTATTATAAATCACAACCGTGAGAAGTGTGCTTAACTTCTAGGTCATTTACATCAACTCTTAGAGTCTTCCAAAAGCTCATGAGTCTGGTATTGTTGGTATTGAAAACAAAAAGTTAGAGCAATTTACAAAACAAATATTATTTTACCCAAATACTTCTCATGATGAATTGAAAGCTTAGGTGAAATAAATAATTAAAAAATAAATTAATTGAAAAAAAAAACTGTAGGAGTTTTATCAAGCAGTATTAACATCAACTCCAGACATTGATTGCACAACGTGTGGACATAAAGTCACAGACCACTTATCATGTCACACAGATAAGCTGAAACTGGGGTCACAAACTGTGCTATATACTGCAGGTGACAGTACTGAAGTACTTTTAATCATTTCCCATTTACTGGAGGTTAAATGAGGATTCAGTAAACCATTTGCCATGGCATATTATGAATGTTAGTATCTTTCAACTTACTTCCAAGAAGGTGGTGGTGTATAAAACCAGGATTATGACACTTGTCAACTCAAAACTCATTACGAGTGTCATTATTGTCAACTTAAGGTTAATACAATGTGTAAACATTTTCCTATTGAGCTCACTAGCCCATTATTCACTTTAAGTTTATTCAGTACTTTGATTATAATTTTCAGATGCATTCATATCTTGAGCACACCTGCACAGACCAGCATACACAACAATTCAGACACAAGTGTAAAAAATTACAAGACAATTCAAACTTATTCTTCTGCACCCACGAATGTAAAACATTACACAAGATAATTCCAACTCATCCTCATATATCAAAAAGTGTAAAAAATTACAAGATAATTTGAACTCATTCTCATACACCTACAAGCGTAAAAATTACAAGACAATATGATCTCATCCTCATACATGCACCTGTGCACAGAACTGAACACATGTGACCATTTCCACGTACCTGTGCCCCGTACACTTCCCCTCTGATCACCTCAGGCGCCCTGTATCCCGGGGTACCCTCAGAAGCCCTCAGTCCACAGGGTGCTGCGAACCTGGAGATTCCGTAGTCAGATATCTTGGCATTGATCTGGAAGTGAGTTGTGAAACTGTGAACATCATGTTTTTTTTTTTTTTGCTTTTTTCATTGCTCTTTGATGTGAAGATACACCTGCCTCTAATGATGACAATATTAAAATAACTATTAGGAGTTATAATACATACTTTACACAATGAACAGCCAATTGACATTATTTCTTTAATAAATGAAAGAAATATTTTTTATCTGATTTGATTCATGATAAATCAGTTTGATTCCACTTTTTTGAAACAGTGGTTCAGTTTTATATAGAGACTGACGCAAATGCATTATAAATATATTTACTATATTTCAATAAACAAATTTATCATGAATTGCAGTAGACTGAAATTCCCATTCTTTTTAAAGTTTAAAACAACTTTGGTAAACACAAACATCAAAAACACAAGTGACAATGCTGGTGGAAGTCACACTATAAAGACACAGACACAAGAATAATAGTTGAAAACTCACCACTACATTGGGTCCCAAAGCCAGGTTAAAGATGAGGATGTTCTCTGGCTTCATGTCTCTGTAGATAATCATATTATGATGGAGATAGGCCATTCCCTCAGCCACCTAGTATAAAGAAAATGTGTCAAATGACATGTTATATACAGCAAAACAAAAACAGAATGTTCCTAGAGGCATTACATTGTGAATGAACATACAGTAGAACGGGCGCCAAATTTGCTTCTGTTTGACCATGTAACCATTTTCACTTACCATTTTTGGTTCACTTTTTTCTTCTGAAGAGATATAAACTCTTTTTTTGGACATATGATCTTACAGGAAAAAAAACACCTAATGTTTCTGTGGTAGTTGCTGTTTTTACCTGCATAGCAATTCTTTGTTGTTCCGCTCTGCCCAGAGTTCTTGTTTTTAGCAATGATCCAAGAGATCCCAAGGGGGCCACCTCCAACAGAATAGCCCTGGGGTTGACCCCCACTGCTACCATGGATATCAGACTTGGGTGGTTCAGCTCACGGATTATAGTCACCTTATATAACAAAAGATAATGTACAGGTATTCGATTTAAATCAATGGGTCTATTACTTTGGAGAATAACTGTAACAAATTTGAAGTTTTGATCTAATTTCAAGCATGGAGATACATAAGAGAGCTTAATATACTATCAGCCATGTAGTGTATATAGAGCAATGAAGTAACGATAAAAAATGTCTTACATCTAAAGGCCTGGCAAACAAATCACTATCACAACATTCTGAATATGGATGTCACCATCCCCCTTACCACAAAGAACAGTATTTGACTGCATGTGCCAAAAAAACAAGCAATATATTAGGTGAGACTCGTAGGAGTCTATACGTAAACATATATATATATATATATATATATATATATATATATATATATATATATATATATAGATAGATAGATAACAATTGTGTTAGATGGGCCCAGTTACCATTGTATTAGTTGAGACTGACCTCTTGTCTCATCATCTTATGTGGATGAATATCTCCTACAGCATTGAACACCTTCACAGCGACCTCCTTATTCTTGTATTTGGCTCTGTACACTGACCCAAACCCACCATCACCAAGTAAGTACTCTGGGCTGAAAAAAAGAGTGAGAGAATTCAGGCAAGAGCTCAGTGTAGATGGTATATATATAGGCAGAGTGAATATTGTCTTACGGTATTTAATTGCATTATTTTATCACATTTACTATAGATTTGACTGTGTTCAAAGGAAATGCTAAATTCTTATATCCTGTTGTCTCAAGCCCCCATTATATAAAACAAGAAAATAGACTAACTTTATAATTTCACCAATATATGGCTCATAACTATTCTAAGTAGTTTGGATATAGAATAAAAAACTTTTTTTATATTTTTATATTATTTTTACTCTTTTATCTTTTTAACTATTCCATCACATCCTTCACAATTCATCCTGGCCAAATACATTAAAAATGTCTGATCAAAACAGCAATACCAACTTAAGCCTGCTACCAATACTAGTAGTTCTTGCTTATAAGGGAACACTTCTGCAATTTGTACCTGGGCAAATACAAAGACACTAACTGCATTTAACAACAATAAGACAGCACAGATACCTTTTGTTAAAGAAAAAGCTCTGTGGGTCAATTTGAAAATGATCTTCCAAGTCCGCAAATATCACATCTGGAGCCTGAAAAATAACAATCACTGATTCTGTAAATAATGCACAGTACATACGATAATGTATGGACTCGGCAACCTAAATGTAGCACTACAACCAATAATAAATCACATAGATTAAATTGAATTTCTTAAATCATATCAGTATAATTTTTTTAATAAGTCAATACAAATCAATCAGTACTTACATATAACATACAACTTTTCAGTGCACTAAAAGCTACCTTCGACACTGAGATCAGTAAAGATTTAAACACAACAAGCCAGCTATAGCTAACAAATGTACAGACAACCTATCTCAGTCTTTCTATTAACTTACCAGTCTACTCAGGGGCACTGGCCCACAGTTGGGGCAGTTCATTGATGCGTCCAGCTCCGACTGACTGACCAGGTCATCCAGGACAAAATGGTGGATAGATGGACCTGAAAAGCAAGAAGGGACAAAATATGATGCTGCATACTTTCAACCTTCATGTACATATAGCCTAGGAAATGCTGTAATTTAATTTTTCAATATTATGTAATGAAAATGGATTTATCAATAAAAGTCTAAAATTCCAATAAGTCATTGAAAACAATAATGATCATAAAAACTAATAATATATACTTTAAAATTTAATTTAGATGGGAGATAAAAGCACAGTGTCAATATGAAACTGAATTAAGAATAGTCTACTAGTATATATAGCCACTCCAGTAATAGCTGCCACTGTCTGTTGATTTTCATTTTCAAGTCTCCCCAACTGATGTCCAACATTACCCAGTGTCCCATATATTTACCTGTCTAGATCACCACCCTGACTTACCTATGCACTGTGAGCAGGGTACTATTCTCTGTACCAGCTCTAATCCAGTGGGAGACTTCTCTGTGAGACCAGGGTACCACTCCTCTATCAGAGTGTCAATGTGGTCCACTATGTGTCCCAGCACACTGGGGAGTAATGATTCCAAATATTAGTTTTCCTTAACATATTCTAAATACTGGTACCAATTGACAAGAATTATAAATTTGTTGTAGTTAACAGAGTTGCCACCATAACAATACTTTAATGTGGAGGGCAACTATTAAACACATTACAAACAATAGATGGAAATACTTGAAAATAAAGGAAAAAAATCCCAAAAATGTGTACATTACGTTGAAATAGGCATGTCTATCATTTTCTTTTTTAGGGGGTTCTAATTGCATAGAATAAGTGCTTTATACAGGAGTTTTTGATTACAATAACATATTCTAATACCAGTATCTTAAAAAAAAAAAAAAAAAAAAAAAAAAAAAAA